GTTGAACAGAAAGGTGTTTCACATGATTGACAAGCAACTGGTTTCCACGGTAATTCATGACAAACAGGACATGCGAGATGACTAATATAGAACCCAGGTGGACCTCGAACTCGTTCAGAAGATAAACCTGTTTTTAGAGTTGATGTCATCTAAACAAAATGAAAAGCAAATCATCAACATTAATAAGCTTTCATGCATGAAATATAAACGAAGCTCTGTGTGATTTTTTTCTAGTGCAGGATAAAATGTTAATAATTATGCATAGTTCGATGTTGGTTTATCTTTTTTACATAAGTCATGTAGTAATCATAATAACCAACAGTCAGCTTGAAAAATACAAAAAAATTCTGTTCTCTGTTTTTATAAATTTCTTGACGATGTCGTAATCACAATGTAAGAATAAGGGTAACATTGAAAAGTTTTAAACATAGTTCACTTCGAGAGTATAATTGTGAAGCACACATAAGCCACGTGCCGATTCTCTTGCTTGTTTTTTTTCGTTACAAATTTCTTTTTTTGATGGAATTACTTCTTCCAAGTGTCTTTGCTCTAATCATCATCAATCAAAGTACATTAGAAAGACGAAGACTTTCGATCGTCCATAGTTTAGTTTATTACGTAGTTATACACGATGAATTTATTTTGTCGCTATAATATTTCAATTTTATTATCAGTAGAAATTTTAACTTATTGATGATGAGTGTTCTGAGAAATAAATATTTCATAGAGATTCCGATACGGTGCTCATCAACAATTCAGTTTTTGATTTCCATATACGTTGAACTTCGTATTCTAAAACTTCTATTGATAACACATGTTCATTCTTGAATGACAGTATATCTGAAATACCATTACTGTAAATCTTTGTACGACTAAAAAACAAAAGAGAAGAAATTGCTGAAGGAAATTTTTCAATTAAAAATCTCAAGCAGGTCAATAGTGTCAAAGTTGGAACTAGAACTCAATTAAACAACTATGTATCAAATTTCTACGTTTAACTGTCCATCCGTTACGTTATTTTGACACTCACGTTGAGAGAGATGTAATGTGTACGTGCTTCTGTAGCATTCTAAAAATCGCTAGACAATAATATTTCACTTCAAATTTTAATAGCATATTTTATTTAGTCATGATCAATAATACAATCATAACTTTTTATGATGTCGATGTAATTCAAACTATTTTTCCGATTATGACTTTAATCATACTCTACAAAACTGTGTTTTCATGAAGATAACAATAATTTACAGAGAGAAATCATCGTTCTTAGCAGCATATACCATGCAAGAAACAAGAATGAATATTGCATTTGAATGCTCATCATTTAATGAAGCACTTTTACTGAAATATGTGTTTTGTTAACTATGTTAAGGCAAAAAAAAAGTTACATATCCACTCTTTGCGTGACTCTTGATTGCATATACAATTTATGAGTATATGAACGACTAGTCCATTTGAGTCCTTTACATCTCTTCAGACTCAATAAGTAGACCATTCAAAATGATGAACTCTTTTGTAAAGAACAAATCTGAAACAATAATTATATATATTGATCTATTCTCATCCAGTATTGAATTTAATATTCACTTTATCTATGCATTTCACGTTGCTTCTCATTCGATTCAAATGAATTTGAAATCTTTACAAGTCAATTGAATTGATTAGCTATTTGTCTTATGCTTAAAAGTCTTTTTTTTTGCATTAGTTGTGATTCATAGTCAGAACAAGGTGTATATTGAGAGTCACGTTTAATCTTATATTTGTCAAGTATCCATGAAGTAAGACAAAATGATATTACTCAACATATGATGACTATTGTTTTCAATATCATTCTATTCATAGAAACAATCCATCTATGATTGAGGAAGTATTTTAGCAACGAATGAAGAATGAATAAGAAGTCCAGATGTAACACGAATATGATTTGAAGATACACCTTTTTTTGTTGCATTGATGTCATCAAAGCACAAAAAAAATGATGAACTTCTTTTGTTTTTTAAAGTATTGTCTTCAGAGAAAATATCATAAACGATGAATCTACATGTGTACACGTAGAGAGAACATGCACTCAAACACTCATACTCTTTCAAATTCAAAAACAAGTCTTCATTTTCAAATCTACCTGAAAAAATAAATCACTTAATAAGTTTCTCTCGCTTGAATATTAAGCTGTTCAAAAATCTAAAGCTGATAGGTTTTCTAAAAACAAAAAACGCACATTGATTAGCTAGCAATCGATCAAATCGTTACTGAGACAATATCTATTCAAAATTTCGTTTTCACTATCATAATATAAGTGATTTACAATTTTCATGAAAACAATGATTTCCGAATACAAAACTTGTGTATTTTCTAATCTGTATTTATTTTTTTCATTCCAATTTATTTTTAAACATTTTTTTGTTTTCATTATGTCTATATGTAAAAATTAAATATAAATATTCATTTGCAATAAGAATACGTACGAACGTCATAATTATTGGATTTTTTTTTATGGCAAGAAGGGAATATGATGAGAAATTAGTAAGAAGTTTATTATATCAAAGTTGTCTTAATTAAAAGCTTTGTAAGTTGAAAAATTTGAAGCAATACAAGAAAGATATGAGTAAATGTAATAACTATTCTTCACATGAAATTTTTCAAAATAAACTTCAATGAAAAAAGTCTGATTGAAATTTTTTTCTTATTTATAATCGTAGATAATGTTTAGTTTTAATTTTACTTTATATCAGACAAATATCTGAAAATATTATTGAAACATTTTCTTTAGTAATACGATCATACAATTAAGCCATTAATTATTTGTATGTCCATCGAAAAATATTCTTATTCTAATCTTAATCTTTTTATAATAGAAGTTGAAAAAATGTATCAGAATTTTTTTTTTATTTAATTCAAATACTTTTTGAAAGAAATTTTTCAGATTTATTGTTGTAATTTTCAAGATAGATACAAACATTGTTATTATTTGTTGTAACAGACTTTTTCTTGATTTTCATAGATCCATCAAATTGTGTGCTAAAAACTTCAAGTATTCAGTTGTGGTAGAAATATGACACTGCCAATCAAATTTTGTAAAATACAGTATCTACAGTGTCAATGAAGAATTTTTTCCATGTAGATTCCAAACTTGAAGTATTTTTAAACAATGAAAATATACTTTTAGATAGTTCTCAATATTTATTATTCGAATTATAATGTATTTTATTTTATATGATGAAGAATGCTAGACCTTTACTGTTCGTAAAACTTATGTTCTATTGTGTGAAAGAATGTTCTTTTCAATCAATTTGACCTATGGTTAGTTGAGTTAGTATAACATGAGTTCTTGTCGGCCCATCGATATCAGGATGAGCAATACCACCAGATGATTTAAAGATGATCTTGTCTATATCTTTCCAATACAGGATAATGAGTTGTGGTTTACCAAAGAGAAGCGTTCCTGTATATGTGTTGGTTTCTATAGAATTTCGATGTCCTGTGATGGTTAATTGTAGATGATCCCTCCAAGCAGCACATGCAGTGACAGAAACAAAAGTAAATTTTTCATGTGAACTTCTGACACTAATCGATGCGTCCTCTTTGAAAAACGCTATGTTTAAACTACCATCAGGCATAAAGGATGTTGCATATCCACTTTTTATGTATTTTTGAATTGCATACGATTTATGCATACAAGTTATTCCAGTCCATTTCAGTCCTCGATATTCAGCTGAGATACGACACAGTTTTTCGAGTGTACCTTCGAAATCGTCAAATGTGATCCTTATTTTCTTTATCAATGGATCTAAACGTCATTATTCATTCATTATCATTACGGATAATATAACTAATTAGTAATACACATACTTAACAGTCTCATTTCATTTAATTGAAGTGTAAGTTCGTATATTTCACGTTTATTCTCTTTGCATTCATCTCGAAGTTGTCGAAGTTGTTCTCTCAAACAAATATTTTCTGTATGAATTATAGCAGTATCACCTCTTTTGTATA